GGAGGTAGGCCGCCTCTATGTGATAAACAATTGGCAACCAAACGGTGGCTCGCTAAAGCGATATATTATGAAATTAAATTAATCACTCAATAAGTTTTAACGTTAGATTGTTTCCTCGATATGGCCATGGTGGTCATCAGTGACTGGAGTGCCTCAAATGTTTAGAATAATTAAAATAAAATAAATGTTGTCAACTAAAAATTTTGAACGTCATAGCTAGCTAGACATTATTTTCAATTGAAAAAAAAAAATTATAAAGCATAATTCTATAATCCTATGCTTAAAATGTATTTTCTTGTGGCCGCCTGACAGCAACCTGTAAATCTGGCGCGACAGTGAACGTGTTAATAAGTAAATGTTGTTCAAATTATGTCGTGTTTGATATCATTTTCATAAGAAAAATCTCACCAATATGTTAAAAAAATTAAAGAAATTATATTTTTCTATTAGGATTTGTCGAGCCGTGAAATCTCGTAATGGAAACCGACTGGTGTAGCGTTACACGTTTGACTGACTGCGAGCAAGATAACATGGGCGCAGCAATGACGTAGGCCTAGGCGTAGGACCATCTATACTGTCACTTGTAGAATCCAAACTTACTGACTCTTGTAGAGAATTTATTGTATCTGCAAAAACTACTCACAGAGAATGTTCTATCGTTGAATCGATAATAAGCGTCTCCCTTGAAGAAGTATGTGTAACTGCGATAAACAATGGAGGCGTCGAGGTTATCAGGAATGTCCTCCCAGTTCGAGATCAATTTCGGGTAGGTGTTTTTCACCGGTGGTTTTTGCGTAGGATCGAACCTCCAGAATTTGGTGCCCTTGTAGAAGTAGATCTTGCCATTTCCGGTCCACACAGTCACGGTGTCGATGTTATCTGGAATTCCTGTGAAACCTTCGCTGATTTCCTTCGGGTAATCCCCGTCCATTCTCTTCCCTACGTATCTCCAGTATTTCGAGCCCTGCGACAACGCGATTGATCGTTATTTTTTTTATCGTTGATTAGTTTAAGAGAGTTTAAGTTGAAACATCTTTATAGATGCTCTTTTTCTACCTTGAAGAAATAAGTTTTTCCATTTTTGTACGTGAACGCAGCGTCTATGTTCCCTGGCAGTCCTTTCCACGAGTGAGAAATGAGCTTAGGATAGCCGACTGCTACACCATCCGCGGTTAATCTCCAGTAACGATCGCCTGTAGTTGAATGGATGATTTATAATTAAGAATTGCCGAACGTTAGAATAGAGAAATGAAACTTTTAGACATTGCTTTGATCTCTTGTGCCTTCTTCTTCTCGACGATTTTTAAGTAACTTTTGATTATTTGTAATAGAAGCTATGAAATGCGGGGATTGCAAAAGTTGTCGAAATTTCGAACGTAGAAGTGAAATTTTTGGATACTGTTTCTTGCTTCTTTATTTTTCTTTCTTTTTACCAAATTTTAATTACCTCACGTTCCACTTTGTCCTAGATTTTGCTTCCCAAAAAGTACACACTTCACGCAAATTTTCAAGGAAACATAATATACTCTTAGAATTGTTTCAAGGATCATTTTTATCCATCAACTTTCTTTTCTTCATGGCAATTTCAACAAACACGTACCTTTGAACACATACATATGCCCTTCCGCAGAACTGAACATCGTGTCGACTTTTGGATCCGTGCACAGTTCCGAATCTTCCTCGCTTGGCGGCGCCACAGTCGTAGTCCCATGTTTTGGCCCAACAGGAATGCTACCAGTATTTACGTTCTTCTTTCCATACAGAGCCTGAAATAAAGTGATAATCAAACTTCTTACGTTTCTTTTTCAGAATGAAACATTTCTAGCGCTTGAAATAAATTCGGGTCAAAAAGGACCCGGGGACCGTACTAGGGTTAGTGTCGTGATTTACGACCTCGTTGTAGCTCTTCCATTAAGTGTAATTGAAGTTTGCAACACGTATTTACCTGAATACCCTGAATGTCGTCGTCGTCTAGCTGGAAGTAGGGCACGTAACCACGGTAGAAAGGCGCCATTAGGGCACTTTTAATGTCGCTGTGACTCAGACCAAGGGAATGGCCGAATTCATGAGCAGCCACTTGAAAGAGATTCGTACCACGGAAGCTGTCGATGGTCCATTGTTCCGCGTCGTCGAAATGGGCATCGCCACCGTACACAGGGAAATAGGCGTGAGCCAAAGTGCCACCAGGTCCGTCAAAAGGATCTCCATCTCCGTGTTCACCTTTCTCGAATCTGATCTCAATGTGGACCTAGATAATCACATTGGAAAATTGTTACGAGAAACGTTCAGATTGCTACGGCAGTTGTTGAAATCTCGTTGTTAATCGTTTATTTGAAATTAGAGAAATTACGCAACAGGATAATCGAGAATTGATTGGTTCGATCTTTCAGGACACACTGTTGTTTGTAAGCTTTGTAACATGCCTTCTTCTGTTTTTTAATGTAATAATTTTGAACTCTAATTTTCTTCCAGAAATGTTGCTTCGTTGTTTTGCAACAGAAATGCGAATGAATGAAAATCTGGAGTTTGTGAAGTGTAATCCCTCCCGCAGGGGGGTGCCTTTGGGCACCCGGGGCTTGGCGAACCCCCGGAATCCTGAGCTATCGTTACAGCATCGCTGCGATGCTCAACAGCGTAACAAAATGCAACATTTAAGACAGGATCTCGTTTGAAATATACAAAGATTAAATTATCAGCTGTCCTGCAGTGTAATTTAGATTTCACCGACGTTGAAATGTCGCGACTGAGACCGTGTACGCCTCCATGAAAAATAAGCAACGACAAGATCGTGCTAATGCCTCTCGTAGCAAACAACGTTTGCATTGTTAGCTCTGCGCATTGGCTTCGGACCTCTTGAAAAAAGGCCCCGCTGTTCTTTATTCTTCTTATTTCTTCGTTGACAATTGTGAAAAATTTTCGACAAATATTATTCTTCTCACCTGGCCCGACTTCTTTTGGACGAAGACGAGGTCAGTGTAGTCCGACCACACTTTGAACGCCTTGTTCAGCTCAACGTCGACTTTGTTCTGTGGCAAATTTCGCGGATACTTGCTGATCTTGTAGGTCAGTTTCTTGACACGCCATCTCGAGCCTGCAACGTGTAAAAATAATGACGTTTTTTGGGAAAAATATTTGCATCGGGAAATTCTTTCTCTTTTTTTTTTCTTTTCTAGTTCCAATATTTTTTCTCAGCTTTGGAGAAATAATTTTAGAATTGAAGTTACGAATAATCGTACTTGGAAAGTGTATAATTTTATGGAGCAAATATAGTAGAAATTATGATAAATATTAGGTTAGTTTTTTTTTTTTCTAATTTCAATTCCTTTTTTCAATACCAATATTTTTTCTCAGCTCTGGATAAATTTGTATCGAATAATTCTACGACTGGAGTTAAAAATATGGTAGAGGTAGATATAGTAGAGATTACGATAAATATTAGGTTAGTCTGTTAACGATCATTTAGTAGACAGAAGACGACCCTCGATCTTACTAATTTTTACAAAGAACATCTTGATTGTATTGTACCATCTGTTTACGTAATGATACATGTGGCAATTATTCCACGACCCTCATTTGTCCCTTGTGCAACGATTTATTTTTAAACACTCCGAATACACTGAATTTTTCCAACGTTTCCTTACTTAATTTATTTATCTAATCTGCTCTTAGAATCGCCAAAGTGTTATTTCTCAGTTCTGTCATTAGTAATCCTTCATTTTCTCAATCAAGTACGCTGATTCATTCGTTAATCATAGCTCGAACATGTCTCGAAGTTTAAAGATATACTGCTGTCGATAAACTCTGCACTTGCATCACTTTGGCCATTTTGAAAAGTACGTTTAATTAGGTTTCTGCAGTTTTTGGTTACTCCACGAAACTCCTCTTACGTCGATTGTAAATGTTCGCTCGAAACCTCTTTCTAACGAATTCGAACATTTTATTTGAATTGTTCGATGTGTACAGTTGATTACTCCGATGTTAATAATGGTAATGTAACGCAAATGTTATGTCATAAGGTAGATTGAACACTATTGCATCGAGATTCATCTGAATTCCGATTATTCTTACTTGATTGAAATAATTATTGAAAGTACCGATCAAATTCGTACAATTTAGAATAAAAATTCCGATCCAAAAAGTTCGCAAAGATAAAATTCGCGAAATTTGAAACGTTCATCAAGCTTCGTTCTTTCCCCAAAACTGACGAAGGTATTAAGTAAACGAAGAGAAGAATTTAAAGGGAAATACAGTAGGACTCCCCACAACGCGATAAATTTCTAATTTTGCAATTTCGACATAATTAACGCAAATTATATCAACAGCTTAATTAATTTTACCCAAAACGCGACATCGACGGAACTCAATTCGTCTTCTGTTTCCCGCGTTCTAAAAGGTCCTACTGTGTACTGGTTGCAAAAAAGTGATCCCCAGATAGCAGAGAAAAAGATCACGGTTGAACAAATCGTCTTGTCATCGCGTTATGAATCTATTATCTCCGGAAGACAGATCCAGCAGCAAGGTTCTACCAGCCAAGGTCGACCATCTGTATTATTTCTGTTATTAAAGAGCAAAACGCGTCGAAGCTTAGATCCTTTCTCGCCTCTTTTTACTCTGTTCGCTCATCGAAACACACTGTTTCCCCTAAAAATCACGCCGGCGAGCAGATTTTTTTCGTCGTTCGCGAATTCGATCACGATCGAGAGCTATAGTGGGTCACGCAGCTAAAGGTTCGTTTTTTTTTTTTTTTTACAACGGACAGAATTCCGTAGGATACACGCATCGGTGATCCTGCGGCGAGTTCACTGAAACGAGGAACGTTCGCGCGAGGTTCAAAGTCACGGTTAGGATCGATCGAATCTCGATGATTTCCCTGGTGATTGTAGGCTGTACGCGATGTGGTAGTATAATTGGATGAATGGAACGGTGAATCAAGCATCGATGAATTTCTTCCGAGAAGAACGGGCCAACGGAAAGGGAACGGAGCGCCTTATGAGTTGCGGTTGATTAGCTACCTGGAATTACGATTTATGGAAAAGTTGGCGCGAATTCTGTAATCAAAGTTCTGCAATTAGCGTGACGTATGGTCAAAGGACAATCAGCGTGATCTGGTGTGAAATGTTTGTTACGGCGGAGTTCTCAGGAAATTGTATGTAACTTTTCCGTGGAAATTGTGAGTCGTAAATTGAGTTTGCGGAATTTCGGGGAATTGGCAGATGTGTTTTTTAGTAGCTTCGTATCTCTTGTTTTGTGGTATAATATATTGTAAGAGGGAATGTTCCATTCAGTGTCGATTTAATTTTCGATTATCGCGCAAAGTGAGTAAAATTAATTAAAGTAGAATTACATCTTCATTCTTCATACACCCAAAAGTGAGAAAGATGCTGTGGCGGGTACGTCGTCGTCAACAAACCCTTACCGAACCTCGTTCTATTCTACCACGCGAACTTTCTTTCTTCCAACTCCTTCAGATTTTAGTTTCCGTTCTTTCGTCTCTCCCCGGGTTAAGACTTGCCTTCGTCCTCGAGTGGCCTAAGAAGCGCGCATGTGGCATCCAGGTTCGCACGAGGACGAACGAATTTTCCGTTTCCACCACTTTCTCCACTTTTATCTTATCTAAAAACCCAGTACGCCTACACCTCCAGAGTTTCTTCCTTTACCGACCATCGCGACGTACCCGCCGAACCGCCGCCGCCGGGACAATTAGCGAAGCAAACGATTGTATTTTCTGGACAAATTGCACGCCGACCATAACACTCATATTTTAATAAATTGAGGTGAAAACAGTGCAACGACGTTCCTCACCCACCTCGATGCATTTTATAAGAAACGAGAGAAGTAGAATAGTGATACAAAAAATGAAGAAAAAGTTCGAGTGAGAAATATCGATCAATAATAATTTTAAATTAAAAATTCGGTAATATAATTGAACAGTGATATTCAAAATTATAAGGAAGATGGATCAATAATAATTTCAGTAATATCACCGAACAATGATATCCAAAATTAGGAAAAAGTTACAGTGAAACAGATCGATCGATAAAAATTCCGTAACACAATTAACTACGGTGTTTACTGCTAAACACCATGGATTCAATGGAACTCCTCGTAAATGTATCTGGTACAATTTTGAGGCTGAAAAAAATGCATTCAGACCACCTGACAAATAGCTGCGATACAGATGCGCATGACCTGTTTAGGGTGACTGACTCTACATTGACGATAATGAGGCAGGAAGTCAAAAGTAACACTGAGTTGTTAAGCATTCCTTGCACCGTGAAAACATTCCATTGCTCGAATAATTACACGAACTTGTAATATCTTTTTCATTCCAAGTGTCGATCGCCCTTCGTTCTTTCTCGAGAAGTTAACGAAGGTATCGAGTGAACGACGGAAAGCGTTCAATGGGAAAGAGGGTGAATTGGTTTGGAAGTAGGGTACTATTTTTAATTCCATTTACCTTGAAGGGCGTACCGCTTCGATCTTCCGAATCCAGGGCCAACTTTGTCTTTAACGCCACACCTTGGTAGAGCCATTAGCTTGTAAGTGTCTTCGTCAAAGTCACCTGTAAAACAGAGTATTTCAATAACAATTCTAAAATCGATGCATAGAGAAGTACAGTTGAAACGAATGAGAAATATTAAGAAAGTATTTCCTGAAAAGAAGAATCGAATTGTGACTTCTTCCTTGGTGTAAAATTGGTATTAAGAAAGTTAAAACATTGTTGCACTCGTTTATTATGAAAACAGTCGAGTATACTTTAAATACATAAACACAAATTTTCTTTTTTTTTATAAATTTAGTATTGAACAGTATTTAGAAGTACTTCGAATCTCAGTTTTCGATTATTTATTTTATACAATACTATAATTACAAATTGCAGTTTTATTTTATCTACGTTTGTAAATTCTAATAATTTCGTTTCTGTTCCCTTCACAAGCGAAGAAACAAATAGTCTCACTTCAATTCACGAACCTGCAACATTTCGCTATCCTCGTTTCATTAAAGATCCACTTAAAAGCTCGTGAATTTTAAAGAGAACGCTACTTTTCAATCCTTCGATCATCGTTATTTCCGTCATTCGGCTTCTATCAAGGCTGCGTCAAATGTAGGTTCAGTTCAGATCGCAGAATTCACAGGTATCGATCCTCCGACCCATGCTGCACGCTGTCTTCCCTATTTACGATCATTCGTGTATGTATGCACTTCCTTATATCGCGGTGCATATGCATCAACGTAACGTGTATATGCATAATATGCATAACACGCGAAAACGTTAGGCTACTCGCACACCCTTGTGTATAGTCGGTGGAAGAAATATAGAGGGCTCGTAAAATTGGCCAGGAGACAAAGTAAACACGTTCCGAGCGTTCTGACAAGGGAATCGACAGAAATACGAGAAGATGAGGACTAAAACCCTCGGTTAGGGTCGCATTACGTATTCACCGTGTGTGCACAGGCTCTGGCTTTCTTGAAATTCTTCTAATGGCCTTCGTTTTCGCCCGTATTCTTCTTCAATTTTTGTTCATTTACTCGTCGATGTTGTTTGCTTCGTTCGTTAAAATTCGGATAGCCAATTGACCTACGTTGGTCGCATCAGGCACAGAAAGAAGTGCTAATTGGAATTTTTAATTTGCCCGATAGTGCATGAAACGCTCTTAGTTATCACTCGTTATCCCTTTATTGCACGAAACCTAAAATAGAATGCTGTATGCGATTCCGGCTGCGGCTAGATCAACCTGTGTCGCCACTTGATGCTTTAATTTACGACCTCGCTATATTTGTTCCATTGACTATACACAGCGAAAGGAAGCAACGGTTTATGACACGACGAACAGCTATTTTTGACTGGAGGATTTAGTTTATTGTTAACGTGTGTCGTGTCTATTCTAGCGAGCCAAATTAGCGTTTAATACTGTAGAATCGTTAAATTTCTTAGTACTTTAGAGCCGATATATCGACTCTGCAGTTTTCCTGAAATCAGATTTTTATTTTTGATTTTAACCCATGTAACGACACCGTACTTCAATAAAATGAATTTTTATAGCAGGAAATATTTGCATATACGTGTGAAGCTATCTTTGTTTTTAAGAAAGGTATGTTAACTTTAATAAATTTCTTCAAAAATGCGTATTTTCCAAAGTATTTTTGGAACGATACATAAAATACTCATGAGCTAGTAAAAGGGTTGGTTCTTTTCGCGAATCCTTTCAGACGTTCCACCACAGCCGCAAAATCTCCTCCTTCAGCCGCATCGTTTTAAAATTTGCCTCACCGAATTAAGGTGGAAGCATAAAAAAGCTCAAATTAAGGCTACGATAACTCTCAATCGCAGCAAGTCCATCAGTCACATTCTGCATCCGACGAGATTACGTTAGGCTCGAGTTATCAATATGCACGTTGCGTCTTATCAGCGTACGATTTGAAAATTTCGACTCCGCTTCCAGCAAGTGTGCAAAGAGCTTTATAGCCACCTTGCGTCACGTGCAAACGAGCCTCTGCTATGTTTGCCTCGGTCACGCGACTAGAAGTTGTACGTTTATTAATACGTTTTTGCGTGGAAATTGTGGTATATTGACGGAACGATGGTCCAGATTGATTTGAATACGCTCACGAGCGATCGAGTTACTCGCTTCAGCGCGATCACGTTTAAACAGAATTAGAGACATCCCGTTGGAATATTCTCTTCTTTCGTTTCAAGCCTTAATGCGACGTTTTTTCCTATTCTTTTTATTCAACAATTCACGATTAAGTTACTGTAATAATTCTTATAATTCTTTTTAACAATTTGGCCTATGTCTAATTGGTTTTTTTCAGGTCAGATTTCGTGATAGAGTTGGGACTCTCGTGGATAGTTAAAAGTGTCTACGATGTGATCCTGTATTATAAATTATCGTAATTTATAATCTTGTCGAGGTGAATTCTATGTAAGAACATGTGACACTTGCTATTCCTCACGGATGACTGATGAGATTGGTGTCGGATATGTACAGTAGAAAGTAACGAAGATCTAATTATGGAAAGTGTTCGATATGACGACCATTTGTATCACAATGGCGGTGATTATGACAATGAGTGATTAGAGCACTATTGTGTTACATTTCGCGTGATGATTTGTACATGCACTAATCGTGACACTATCTTTCTTAATCGTTATTGTTACACTGAGCACGTAGGAAGAGATTCATTACTACAAGAGTGATGTTTTCCTTTCGCTTTTCTTAGTCACAGCGAGATTTAATTAGAAGAAACTGTGTAGAAATTATGCTCAGTATAATGTATGCAAGTTTGTTGCTATTGAGAAGAGATGTGTTTTAATTAAGAATAGAATTTTACTCGTTTTATTTCTTATAGAGGGAGCGCCACGTGAAACAGGCCCACTTAATTGTCTCTGAAAATTTTTTTTACTAATTTAAATGGTTTCAAAGGGTGAATTAAACGGAGGACAAATTTTGATGGAAGAAATGGCAAAAAATGAAGGAAAATTTCACATTTGATTACATACTTTAGAGTCCAAAATTTTAAGGTCGTATTATGCACATACGCTACCGGCCAAAAGTTTGGAATCACCGAGCATTGCAATTTACATAAAAATTTCCAGAAAAAAGTCGAGCGACTTTGAGAATTTTTTATCGTTCGAATCAATTGATAAATGTGGAATTGAGATAAGCAGATTTAACCCTTTGTAATCGAGTGGTGACTGAGATGCGACATTAAACAATCGTCACTTGGTGAATAATTAATCAAGTCAGAGAGCAGATCTATGGTGCCTCTATAAATTTGTTCATTATAGTGTAATAGAGAATACGTTGAATATTTAAGTAAAATAGTATAGTTTATTTCTGCGTTAATTTTAAAAAATTTCAAACCTTCCTTTTGCAAACTTTTCTGTTACAAAATGACCTCCGAGTGCAAAGGGTTAATATCGATGAAAAGTAGGAGGTGATTCCAAACTTTTGGCCGGTAGTGTATGTTTAAATGCACTCAGAAGAAAATATATTAATCCGTGAAAAAAGCATAGGCGATCTTGAAAAAGTAAAGGAAAAAATGGTATTTATAAAAATATCTTGTTACATATTGCGAACATAATTTGCAAATCGGTTCAAGAAAGCTTCTGACACGAATGATCTGTTCCAATTAACAAGCCCTCGATCTTCTCTGTAACAAATGTACAATTCCACACCGTCCATTATTTAATATCAACAAAACCCGCGTTGTTAAAATTTTCTCTTTTCTTCACCGTGTCTTTCTTCCGTCATCAACGATGACAGTTCTTCTTTCACCTGGCAAAAACTCGAAAGCACGCTGTTACGTCGACCGTAAATCGATTTCACGGCTTTTCTCGTCTCCTGTTGTACAACATTGTTGGTATTACGAAATCTGTACACGACTCGCTTCTTCCTTTTTGTCCCTACCTTCTGTTACGTACAGTTCAATTTACTGAAACCGATATACGTACAAGGTCTGGCTATATCCAGCGAATTCAGGATGCGTCCACCACGTGGCAGATGATTGCTGTCAATAAACACCGTTTCATCTCAAATAATAACACACATATACAATTTTATTGTTAGATCATTCTTCCGTTCGGTGTTTTTTTTTTTTTATCTATTATCGGCGACCATCGAATCGCCACGTTCGATGCTTTGACTAGGCTAAAACGGTCCAAACGACGTTTGTTCGTTCGGTGGAAAGAGATGCGGTTGCAGCTTTTTGTTTGATGCGATCTTTATTTGGGAATGCGAACATTTTCGGTTGAATTGCGGTTAAATTGACGAGTTGCGTTTGTAGTTTCCGTAATTCACGGATGCTTCGTTGAATTCTTCATAGATCATTTTATCATTGCAATCGTTAAATTTTGATTGCATAGCGTTGACGATGGTTGTTGTCTTTTTAACATTGCTATTTTTGGAAGAATTAAATACACATGTTTGTGTTTTATGAAATATTCGGGGGAATATGTGTCCAAAATGATTTTCGGATCATCTGTTACCTACAGTAGGTACGGTGTAGATTTGTATACAGTGTGTTAATATAAAAATTTTTCAAGTATCGATTGCTGTTTTTCGTTGGTCTTTTAATCATGCAAAACGTACTGATAAAAAGACTCGTTCACGTTTTTCTAGTTTTCTGTAACTGTGATCCGTTAATTACATATTTTAGGTGTTTCATTAGATCAACCATGCAGTCGTCAATCTACGGTAGAAAGATTGCTGTTGAAGCTGTAAAATCACTATTTTTCAGTTATGTAAATCGCTCTATTAAAATGTAATTTACTCAAGATTATCAATCATTCGTTTTTGTTATTTCCTGTTAGCTTTCTGTCTCTCGAATCTATTTCTTTCGATAGAGAAATTTGTCTTATTCTCGTTGATCGTTTTAATTCGTGCAACATGGTTTCCTGAATGCAGATGGTGCAACGTTATAGGAAATCGAAGTGAAATCCTTTCTCTGTGAAATACCACGTAACTTTTCCCCCGATTCCGTGACAATCGATGAATTCGGTCATTTTTGCGGCACAAATTGCTCGTTCTGGTTCGATATTCTATTATCTAATAGAAACTTGACCAATTCTACGTTAGGCAATCCATTAAAAAGCGGTGCTTTTGTTATCTCTGTCGCAGGAATTCGTAACAAGAAATATTGCAATTTTAGTAATCCTTTGTTATTGTAATGTAATCTTATATGGAACTTCGTTTCAAATGCTTTTGCAATATTTCTCTTTTATCTTCAGTGCTTCGTCAGTTCTGCATCAACTGTGTTCATTAATCCTAGAGCGGTCTTCGGGTCTTTTTTGACCCACCGGCTTTTTATATTTTCAGTAATTTTTGCTGCTATCAAGTTTACGTTCCTTGGCATTATTTTGAACGTTTATTGTCCAGGTTCATATGTCGCGTTGGAAACAAAAATTATTGCACACTTAGGTCCTTTTTCACCGAAAAGTCTGAAGTGTACAGTCAAAACGAAGGTTCTAGGGTTAATTTAATTGCGTTTAATTCGAGTATTTTAACGAATAGGATGGTTTATCGGCATATCGTGTAATTTATGCCATGTTTGCTATTAAAAAAGTTTTCTAATATTCAAACAGTATTTTTAGAAGATAATTGCAATAATCTTGCAATAATTTAATTAGAAGATAATTAGACTACTGCGATAATCCTGAGGATTATATTATACATATGAGAATTAATTTATATTATTGTACAGAATAGTTAACAATGAAGGAGTGTAGCTTCGTGTTTTAGTAATTTAAAAAATCATCGAACGTTTAAAGCCGGAATATCACAGAGTACGTAGGATATGTCCTTAAAAATGTAGAAATGTTTGATCTGAATCACAGGATAACGCTCAGCCTCGAAAGATTCGAATCGTTTTATAAATTTCCAATCGCAAATACAATCAGGAAAACGTGTCCGGATGACAAAGTTGCAGTCAGCATCGGGTGAGTCAGTTTTTAAGCGCCACTGACGAATCTGCAGCATTTCACCGAACTCTGATTCATCGTTCAACATCATCATTGAGAATCCAAACGGGAATCTCTCGCGTGTCCATCAATATGAAATATGCACTTCCGTTCTCTGTACGCTGCTTGCGTCCTTCGAAAATTGGGAATTCAATTTTCAAGTCTCCGAATTTGCTGTCTCAAACCGATTAATGAATTTTTATGTATTTAAGAATGTAATTTGGAAGATGTGATTTTATTTTCTGCTAATTTCTGTTCTTCAAGTGTCTTTTCTTAGTCGTTGAAATATTTATTATACTTAAGCTGTGTGTAAATATGCAAAATTTATTTTTGCAAATTTTAAGTTTGAATTTTAAAAAATTTTATGAATCTTCCATTTTCCACATTTTGAACTGTACGAAATATTTAGGAAGATATAACAAGTAAATTGTGAATATTATAAGCTACATATACGTAAATTTGCAAAATTTATTTTTAGTGATTTTAAATTTGAATTTTAAAAAATTTGACAAATTTTACTTTGAAAGATATTTACAAGTAAGCTGTGAAATATTTCACATTACAATATTCATCGTCTCTTCTATCCCTTCCGAAACATTTTCATTTCTCCCTCCGAACAATATTCTCCAATTAAACCCAACAATCTTCAACAGATCGGCCCTATTCTGCAACTAATTGATCCGTACCAGCAGCAAATCGATCATTGATCAACATCGCGCGTTGCAGAAAACACACGTTTTCTGTTACCTGCTCGAATCGTCTCTCGAATCGCGGTAAAATCAACTGTTACGAAATACCAGCTCTATCAGTTGCTAGAAATTACCCGTCTCCGTTGATAACACGCGTTATCAGTGACACACTCGTTTCTCACGTGTCGCTTTTACACCAGCCACGAAATCTTACCGGAAACAATAATTTGTTTCTTTGTTCTGTGCGTTGTTTGACCAGTCGGCGAGCGTTGTGTCAAGGCTTCGAACCTTGACAACGATTGGTCTGCAGCCTGGTGCCCGCTAAAACGCTATTCACACCGGACGCTATGCCGCCCCTCGGACGATGTTTAAACGTTCTCTCGTCGATTTTTCCGAAACCTAAAATATGTACCGTTCACGTCTCCTCTTTTTCCTCCGCCACCCGATTTTTGTCCACACGGGTTCGCGTGCGTGTTTTCACCTGAACACGGGAACGGTCACACGGGAGTCCGGTCTTTCAAGGTCTAAAAACGATAAAAGTCTGCCTCTTTATCCGGAGCCGGTCGAGCAAGTATGTGAAGGTGTATGCATTTATACGCACTGCAACCAAACAGAGGATTGAAACGATTCGAGGAAATACGTTGCATGGTTGCTAATTTATCCCTGGGATTCCTTCATCTCTCGTGCTTTCGAAATTGACGTATGTAGATTTGGATTGCGGGATAAATTTTGGATTAGATCTTCCTGGGAGTTTTTAGATGGTTTTCAGGTTGTTTTCCGGGGTATTTTTTGGAGATATGGCTTATTGTGTGTGTTTGCTTTTCATTTTGCAAGCTCACTTTGCGTTGAAATTCGATTATTTTCTTATTGAGAATGGGGAGTAATTTTGTTTTGCGTTGAGATTCTATTATTTTCGTATTGAGAATGAGGGGTTATTTTTTTTTTTTATGCAGTGTTGTGTGTTTGTTGCATTTTTAATGCATTCTTCATTATTTTGATTTTTATATGATTATACAAAATTTGTATTATCGTTGTATTGTTTTTTTTTTTAGTGTATTTATGAAGTTGTCTATATTCTGTGATAACTTTAGCAGGATTAATATATTAATTCTGAGTGTATATGGACTAATTGCTAATGTAAGACGTCTTTATGAAATCATTATGGTTTCAATGCCAGCTCTAGTCCTTTTCGAGTACTTTAATAGCACTTCGTGATGTCGTAAAGATACCTAACCTTGGCACTTTAATATGTAATACCTTGTATTCATTAAGTGTGCCATATTTCTAATCAGTTTCTTGAGTAGTTTCTTCTTTTTTCAAAGTAAAATACAGCGTCGAATTTTAGTGACACTGAAGTATTTAGGATTGCCATTGAAGATCGATTAAAAATGTGGGTTTGCGCGGTTAAAGACCTCCGAAGGACAGTCAATTAAGTTTTTAGTTCTACTTTCTTTCCAGCTTGTTTGTTCCGTGTTTCAAGTTTTTCTCTCGGAAATTCGCCACGAAATTAGCTACTATTTTCTTTCGACGTCCGCTGCTTCTTGTGCTTCAGTCGCATTCCAGTACTTTTTCTACATGTAACATTTCTATTCCTTTTTCTGGACAATACACTTAAGGTCTTTGGGTCAAAAAAGACCCAAAGGTTGATTAAGGTATTTTTTCACACAAAGACCATACTATTACCTAGGTCATATGAACCTGAACGATCAACTTTTAACATAATTTTGAGGGAACAGAAATTTAATAACAGCGAAAAAGAAGGCGTTGGGTCAAAAGAGACCCGAAGACCGCACTAAGGTTAAGATTCAAAAAAGACACTTTGTAGATTTTAAAATTCTCTCTTTTTTGACAATAATTTCTTCAGCTTCTTCATTTCTTCGTTGAATTTTCATTGCCTTCTGAATGCAAAAGAGTCATCCTTTCTCGACAAAATTAAAAAATCCTCTCTTCTTCGTCACACAAGAATTTCTTCAGCTCTTAGTATTCGTATGAATTTTCATTGCCTTCTGAATGCAAAAGAATCACCCTTTTTCGTCAAAGTTAAAAAATTATACTTTGCAGATCCTGAAATCTTCTCTTCTTCGACACACGAGAATTTCTTCAGCTCTAACTCCTCGCATGAATTTCCATTGCCTTCTGAATGCAAACAAGTCATTCTTTCTCGTCAAAATTGAAAAATGACACTTTGCAGATCCTGAAATCCTCTCTTCTTCGACACACGAGAATTTCTTCAGCTCTAACTCCTCGCATGAATTTCCATCGCCTCCTGAATGCAAAAGAGTCATCCTTTCCCGACGTCGCGTCTTATCTACGATCCCCTTATCCTTCGACTGATAATCAGAATATTTTTCCCGATTCAACTCATGCTGGAATAATAATCGTTCTCGCGAACGCATATGACGCGCGCGCGTCTTTTGACGTATAGGAAACGGACTTTTGGAATCGGACTCTGATACTGGTACGTGCCGAGACACCGGACAATTTCATTACACTTCGATCTAGCAAAATTTTTCGTTCGCCAGCGAGCTCGTTTTTTTCTTTTTCCAGTGAGTCACGCGGAGCACAGTGCGACACCGAACGAATGCATCCACACGCCGCGGCATGATTCACGAACATGCACCCACGACAACTATTAAACGCAATTACTCTTAAATATAATACAGCCGGCCGAGTGCAAGGACGAAACTAAAAGTTAATTGATAATGAAGAGACAGAAGAGTTCTACGAGTTCTTCTCCACTTCCGGATGCTTATCTTCTGTCGCTCTATCTTCCTATGATTTTTGTATCAGATTACTCGAATTGTTGGAATCCAAGAAATTACGTAAATTTTTTAATTGTATTTTTGCAGTTAGCTTTCGTGTAGATTTATGTAACATGTACAGAGTGTAGCGTAACACGTTAAATAGCAAAGTTACAGATCTTGTTACAAAAAGAAAGAAAAGATACAAATTTCATAAAATTTTGAAATACTGTATAAATACAATTTGTTTCATTTTTTGCTTAATTTTTCAATCATATTTGAGTGCAACAATATTGTAAAAATTGCTTACGACGGGATCTGTAAGTGTTTGTTAGGTTTAATTTCTAAAATCTCGTTGAAACATTCGGTTTTAATTATTAACTTTTTATTTAAAGAATTTGTTACTTACCCGTTATATTTAATCCAGCAAAAGCTTGGAACTCTGCGATTGCTTTCGATAGCGTATTCTGAGATATGATTCCACCACTTGTTGGATTTATGGGTTGCAAGTAGCCAAATTGAGATAGGTAGTTCTGCAACAGGTAAACAGGTTCCGTTCAATAGGTATTCATAAAATATAGCACACCGTGGAGAATTATTTAATGAGAAACTGATCGTATTTGTAGTACAGTGAAACTGTTGCGACTGTTTCATTTCAAGTGATCCATCATGATAAAAATGACTTGTTATGTACATACGTAGATTTGAAGTATTCTATTTGAATAAAAATGTCGAGTCTTTAATTCATATCAACCGATGCGTTTAAGAAAAGTGTATTTTGTTGGTGATTTTTTCATTTATTATTTCTGAAATTCTGCATTAATTTAATTCTAAATTATTTCTGAAATTCTAAATTAAAATAATTCTGAA